CGTGGCTCGCCCCCGAGCCCGCCGAGCAGGAAGGGGAACTGCCCGCGGAGGAGCCGATCGCCCGCGCAGAGCAGGAATAGAGAGAGAGGGCGCAACCGCACGCAAGACAACGGGTGGGGGGCGAGGGGGAGGAAGAGGGAGGAGGGAGGGGGGAGGAGGGAGGAGGGAGGAGGAGGAGGAAGGAGGAAGGAGGGAGGAGGGAGGAGGGAGGGAGGGAGGAGGAGGAGGAGGAGGAGGAGGAGGAGGAGGAGGAGGAGGAGAAGGAGAAGGAGGAGGAGGAGGCAAGGGGAGGGGGGGGGGCGGAGTGGACGGGAACGCCGGCAGGAGGCAGGAGAAGCCACTGTCGAATCTATGAGTCGGATCGGCGATCGAAATGAATCGGACCGGCAGCAATCGGCGGCCGAGCCGAGAGAAGCCGAGTCGGTGGAAATCGCCAGGCCGGTAAGGCCTCCACCGAGACGTCGGAGCCCGAGTCGAAATCCGAGGTCAATTGGAATTTGGAGTACCATGCGGGACCTGTTCTAGAACAGGAACGTGCCGCAGACGGATCTACCCTTTCTCCGACCCTGCACCGCGCCAGACGCAACGGCCACGTTGTCCCATGGGCGCATCCGCCCTGAAAAGATCTGTGGACGTCATGGAACCCTATGTGTCCATAGGCGCGTTTGGCTAGGACGTGAGAACGGTATTCGGCATCGCCCCCAGACGTGGGCCTTCTAGACGCAGGCAGGCTTGGCCAAGTTCGAGTCAGAATCGGAAGCCGTCGAAGCCGAATCGGATGAGGAGGAGGAGGAGGAAAAGCTGGAGGAGGAGGAGGAGGAGGACGAGGAGGAGGAAGGGGAGGAAGAGGAGAAGGAGGAGGAGGAGGAGGAGGAGGAGAGGAGAGGAGGAGGAGGAGAGGAAGAGGAGGGGAGGAGAAGGGGGAGGAGGAGGAGGAGGAGGAGGAGGAGGAGGAGGAGGAGGAGGAGGAGGAGGGGAGGAGGAGGAGGAGGAGCAGCAGCAGGAGGAGGAAGAGGAGGAGGGGGAGGAAGCGAGGAGGAGGAGGAGGAGGGAGGAGGGAGGAGGAGGAGGAGGGTGAGGAAGCGAGGAGGAGGAGGAGCAGGAGGAGGATTTTGTGATTTGATTTGCTCGCGGGTGATCGTCTGCCGAACACTCCTGCCCGTGGCGCCGAGGCGACGAGCGACGGGCCCGAGGGGGGCCGAAAGAAACGAGGGACGGAGACCCAGGACCCAGACAACGCCGAGCGAGGGCCACGACCGAAGAAAACAGGGGCACGAAAAATCGAGGGCCCGAGTAAGTCAACGCGATGCTGGAAAGGCCTGGGGGAGTTAAATTTAAACTCCTGCGCAGAGGGCTTCAGCACACAGCCTCAACCTCCCTCAGGCTGCCAGCACGCAAAGAGAGACAAGACAGATTCGAGAGGTACCTCTGCAGCCTGCCTTCTTACAAATCTCATCATAAAACCTCCACAGCCCGAGCACGAGAGAGACCTGGATAGCCGACACACTCAGCGCAAGGGCGTGGAGGAGACGGGGAGGAGGCTCAGGAAAATCATCAAGGAGGCGGCCTAAAGAGAGACTTAAGACATCTCCCCATCCACTCTCATACGTCGTCGTCATCCCTCCCCCACCCGCAGCTGCAGAGCACACAGCAGGAGGTGGAGGAAGGATCTGCCCCAGACCGCGCGTTTGCCGCGGTATCGAACGCGGCCGGACGCATCGCAGGGCTCAGAAAGGCGGAACGAGTTCGGGGCGAACGTGAACGGGATCGCTGGGATCACGTAGTCGCCCGTCGCAGAGATGTTCGCGTCGTGGGTCGCCGTGCCGAGGGACCCGGGCCCGCTACCGCGGCCGTCAGGAATAGTGGCCGCGCAGAGGCACGGCTGGTAGATGGCAACGGTGAACGTCGACATCACGTCGTAGGTGCCGACGCCATCACCCTGAGTATCGTCATCATGGAGCAGATTTGCACGAACAGGAGCTTCACCCAGTCGAGCTTCGGAGGGAAGCGCGGCATCGCCGTCACTATCAGCAGAGACCACACCATCGGCACGATGAGGAACTGGATGGACAGCTCCCAGGGCCTCCTCTGGAGGCGGTGATGTCGAAACCTTCGGTGAAGGGGCAGCCGACGTGGGAGCAGTCATCAATGTCGAAGTAGCCGTCAATGCAGGCGAAGAAAACAGTGAGGCCGAAGTCGCAGTCTTCAACGTAGCATCTGAAGGCTGTGATGCCGTAGCCTGCAAACCCGTAGAACATGGCGTTCCGCCCACCTCCATCATCACCGAGTCCAGGAAACTGGTAGCGGAAACACACGTGACATGACGGGTCAGGTTGTAGGCGTGGCCCAGGCGGGCAAGCTTGTGCGCAGTGCCGGTTGTAATACGACCAGCTCGGCGAAGAACACGACCCGCCTGCTCGAGACCTTCGAAGTGCGTGCCAGCAACTAACGAAAGCCGTCGGATCAACTCCCCATGAAGGTCAGCAGTGACCGTGTGTGG